TTCCAACCTACAGATTTTGTCCTGTATCACCCAGTCTTGGTCTCATTCTGATATCTTTTACTGTACTTTTGAGGAAATGATGGGAGTACCCTCCATCTCTCCCACTGACTACAATACAAGTTCAGGAGCAGGTGTTACTGGGCAGAAATGGGTGAAGCTGTTCTGATTGGCTAATTAAACTCATTAATTCTTAGCCTTTTAACTTTATGAGCGCAACTCTAAGGTAAATCAACGCGGTGTACTTGTGTGTGTGTTGATGTGTGGTTCTTTGCGTTTGTGTACATGTCTTTCTATAATTGTGAAGACAACTTTGGCTAAAAACCATTATTGTGAGGTCATTTTGGCCAGGTCAGTGTCAGGATAAGTCTCTAGCATGAATGAAACTGAAAGTAACGTCCTTTGTACAGATTGAAACATGAGGAGTGAAGTACACACACCAAACAACAGGCACATTCAAAATTTCTCCAGGAATTTTCTAGTTTTTATTATGTTTGTTATTTAAATTGTATTGTAAATTGTTTTTGGACTCTCTGCTCATGAATTGTTTTTATTATGTTTTTATGTACAAATAAATAAAGATCAAATCAAAAATAATTAAAAAAAAAATATGCTTCAGTTTAGTGAAAACTAACTCTCATGCACCCTGATATGAACATGGTTCTCACATGCTGACAGTAAATCTGAACTAAAGCCGTTACTGCTTTGAATTAAATATATGTTATGTTATATTGTATAGATTAAAACAACATTATATATTAAGCCCTGCCCCTCAGTCAACCTCTACTAAACATCACCTGAAACATCAGCATGTTAACACTGTCACTGTTAGCAAAATAGGTTAGCATACCATCTCTGTGCCTTAGTGTAGCCTCACATAGCTGCTAGCATGACTGTACAGCACACCAGTATAACCAGTATACACCGTCAGACACCCACATTCCCACTGAACGCTGTGATTGACCGGCCATGCAGAGGTGAGGACATGTGTCCATTTCATACCCCCCAGCAGAGACTGCCCGTCCATGGACATTTCGTCTCCATCCTAATACTGTAGCCATTCAGATTGTTATGTGTCTCACTCTTTATCATTTATCTTCCCAAACCCCGGTTCAATACCTTCATGTCCCACATCCAATAAACCCAATGTAAAAGAGCACAGTTCATGGTCATTGGCTCAAACATCATGAGAGCTGAAGAAGCAGACTCTGCATATTACAGTATCAAACAAATATAAGCTCAACTACGTTCATCAACAAATAAACATGACTGCACTGACAAAAAAGAATCTTCAAGCCTGAGAACAGTCCCAGAGATAAGGCAGTTTATCAGTCAAATCTTTATATGTCCCCTGTATATGTTCACACACACGCACACACACGCACACACACACGCACACACACACGCACACACACACACACACGCAAGGAGAACTTTGAACCACTAAGTGAACACAGGTCGCGTCATTATCAGTGATTCCTGTGGAAGGTGAGTAAATCAACAACCTGAGGCCTGATAAAGAGCTGAGTTACTGATGATGGACTCCTGTTAAAGAGCAGGTTCAACACTGAGGAGGGAAAAGTAAAACTGATCAAACTGAAGTGATTGTTCATGACATCAGAAGGAAGTGCAGCAGAGTTCTGGTTTATATTGATGTTTCAACATCAGAAAATAGGTCTTCTATTACAGTCAGTCCTCCAGGCTGAAATATCCCTGGGATATCATGTCAGCTATACTTGGATGGTGTGGATTTAGCTCTCCACACAAACAGTGACTCAAACATGCAGGGGACGCTCTCAGAGTCATCATCACGTCACAACATGAAGCCAGGCATAGATCCCCATGTTGGGTCTTCACACCAACAGCCAGCAGAAAAAAACCTGTTAGACACTTTAAAAGATGCCCGCAGAAAACAATCCCATCTGCTTAAATGTAGCTTCATGTAGAATATTCTTCATGTATAACATCTTTTTATCTTCCTGTCAGAACACAGTGAAATTTAGCTCTTTCTGATTCACTCAGCTGACCTGAAAGTACTGGTCTGACAGGAAGATAAAGAGCTGAAAATATTCTACATGAAGCTACATTGAAACAGATACTGGATTGTTTCAGTGGGCGTTTTTTTCTGCTGGACCACCCACAGCAGCTCCTCACTCTGATAGTGTACCGGTGCTCCTGCTGCAGGTAACACACTGACTACATGACTACCTCACACAACCCAGTGTCTAATAACCACAACTATCACTTTAATGCTCCTCCTGTTGACCAACATTCATCCTACACTGTGTGGCTCCCTGTTGCGCCCTCTACTTTTGTTCTGGGGCTCGTTCCAATGTAGGAGAATCTTACAAGACCTCTTTAGATGATAATGTTTCTCCATCCTTGTGTCAACAGTTTTTTGTTTTTCCACTGTGTGCAAAGACATGTCTATGATAAAATGGTTTTCCCAGTTTGTTGTGGAGGAGTCCAGAGTCCAGACCTCAATCCCATCCAACGCCTTTAGGATGAGATGAAAGACAGACTCTGAGCCAGACCTCACCACAGGTAAAAGGCCGACTGCACTACAGGTTTCAGTATGCTCTGACAGAACAGGACCACCTGACTGCAGCCAGGTGGAGGTGAACACATCAGCAGGTTCTGAGACTCTGAAACTCTGTTTCTGCTGAGGTCAACGACACATCATATGAACTGGTTTGTTTTCGAGCCTTTATGCTCCTGACGCCTGAAACCACAGGAGTAGACAAGATTCAGTCCCATAGTTTTATTCAACCACTTCAACACATACAGGTGAAATGTCCATGCGTCCATGTGCACAGCTGCAGGTGCATCATGACCTGACTTCATTAGTTCTTAATACTTTATTATTGGGGTAATGGGCAAATTAAATCACATGGAAATTTTGCCAGGTGTGATGAGATGTTATGATTCGATACCTGAGGCGAACAGATGGCCTTCTCTACCCAGCATGCATCTGTTTGTAGCCCTCAGTTCACCACTTTGGTCTCAAACATGTCAACAACTAACAGATGGATCGTTCATAGTCGTCAGATGAATCTGCCGTCTCTCCTCGTACCACAAGGTTCATTTGTGGCTTTTAAAGAAGCATCTTGACAAATATGCACACACACACACACTGAGGCGAACAGATGGCCTTCTCTACCCAGCATGCATCTGTTTGTAGCCCTCAGTTCACCACTTTGGTCTCAAACATGTCAACAACTAACAGATGGATCGTTCATAGTCGTCAGATGAATCTGCCGTCTCTCCTCGTACCACAAGGTTCATTTGTGGCTTTTAAAGAAGCATCTTGACAAATATGCACACACACACACACACACGCACGCACGCACGCACGCACGCACGCACGCACGCACGCACGCACGCACGCACGCACACACACACACACACACACACACACCTCAGCATTAAAGACCCTCTGATGAAAATCAAGTGTTAAACCTTGTTAACATCCATAATATGTTTTTATACAAGACATATGATGAGTGAAATAATCATCAACATCATGACTGAGTGTTTCCACCTTGAACTGCAGTGAACCAAAGTCTCATAAAAAAAGATTCAGATAGCCAGGGTTCATACATCACAAACCTAAGGAACCATCCTGTCAACTTGTGGGGATGGGGGAGGGAGCTAAATAAACCTTAAACCTTGTCAGTACAGAGGGCGAGCATTAGCATTAGCACAACCGCTAACCCTGTGTCAGCCATTGCCAGTTACAAGCTAACAAACAATATAAGCAAATAAACTATGCTAACTACGTTAACCGTTCCGATCTGTTCGCTAGTCTCCGATTCTGGTCTCAACAGACTCCTCATCTGAGTATGGGTCTGACTGAGGCTCTCTGATGTTTCCTCCTCTGACCATCTCGATACTCTCTGCTCTTTCAGCTGTCAACCTGGAGGAAGCAGGTAGTCAGCAGGGCACAAGGCTTGATCCACATTTCTCAACCAGGAAGTAAGAGGAGATGAGCTGCAGACCAAGTTTAATGTGTGGAAACATGTTCAACTAAATATGAATCACAGCAGAGGATTTTTACAGAGTTTAAAACATGTCTGGAGAGAAAGTTTAACAATAATCACTTTATTGACTCTGACCTTTCAACCATCAGGTCTTTGGTACATACAGTAGGTTTATGACCAAATAGCTGATGAACTAAGGATCTTTCCATCAGCTTCAACTGTATTTTGTGCTAATTTGCACTATACGTTAGCATGCTAGACTAAGACAGTGAAAATCTGTGCAGTTTACAATGATGAGCTCCTGAGGAGGAGCTAGGCTAACAGGGTCAGCAGCAGTCAGGGTCAGACTGTCTAAGAAGGATTGTGTCAGGTGTGTTACTGAGTGAACCCACAGTGTGGCTGCCATGGCAACAGTTTGGTGATATTTATTTAAACATTTTCTCAAACACTTATTCAGTGTATTTATATTTATACAGATTCACTCAGAAACCATCACATGGTTTCTGAGTGAATCTGTATGGAAGCCATTTGCACCTTTGAGTCCAAGAGCAGACAGCTGAGTGGTGGGGCCGTATCCAATGGCAACTAGATGATCAGATGATCTGGTTTCACCAGGTTCTGATGCTGGTCCAGAAAAAATAAAAGTGATTGTTTAAGCTACATTGCAGCAGCAGAACTGGCTGTAAACACACCATCTACATATTATATATATTATATATGTATCATAAGAGGTGTTTGGTCTCCACCACCTCCCCTGACACATGTTCACCAGCTGCTCTCTGACAGGCTCTATGTGAGATGTGGAGCTGGGCAGGTAGGGCAAATTCATTTACAGCCATACAAACAAAACAATGTACAATCCACAAAGTCACCTGTTCCAGTGTAAATATAATAATGACCTCTGGAACCTCTGAATACAAATATAATATGGTTAACTCATGTTGACACAAACACTCTCCAGTTGACTACAGCAAATAGCTCCAATATGGCAGCCAGAGGAAGAGGAAGAGGAAGCAGCCTCACCTGTCACAGAGGTGGTTAACTGCGCCAAAGGAGTCGCAAGCGCAGGGCAGGCAGCCGCTTGTGCCGTTGGTGAAGTGTCCCTCTTCACAGTCCTCGCACTGCAGACCTGCGTAACCCGATACACACGAGCACTGACCGGTGACCTTGTCACACTCGTCTGGATCCATAATCCCCTCGCCGCCACTGCTGCAGTTGCAAAAGCTCTCTGAGGTGGGGTGGGGGGTGGGGGGGCGACAGGAAGACATACTGCATGAGACGCACTGACAGTGATACAACTATAGACCTACATGTGTGAATATTACATTACATTATTGTGACATTAATTACAACTAGAAAATTCCTGAAGAAGTTTAGAATGTTGCCTGCTGCTTGGTGCGTAACCAAGGTGCCTAACTCTGACCTCAGTCACTGCAGGTATCCCCCAAAAGGCTCTTTGAAATTGCAAGGACTGGCCAAACACATTGATGGTTTCTAATCTAAATTTGTCCCCACAACCATAGCAACACATGTATACACACAGAAGTTGATCTGCAATAAAGTTAGATTTCTCCTGCTAACAACATGGACAACATTAAAAAATGCCCTGAGTCAATCACTCAAATTAGCCAATTACAGTCAGTTGTGTGAAGGTTTGGGCAGCAACTGCACTTGTGCACTTGTGTGTGTCTGTCAATTTGTGTGTTTGTATTGTTGTGTGTGGCAGTAGGGGTGTCTACATAGAGCCGCCAAAAAGCTTGTGTTACTACGTTGAGACACTTTTACAGTTAATATACAAAGGTGGAGGTGGTTTGTGTGTCTGTCAATGTATGTGTCTGCGTGTTGCTAGAAACTGCCTAAGCTTAACATTCAAAAAGCACTTTGAAGTTGTCAGGACTGGCCGAAATTACCTCACAATAATAATTTTCATCTAAATGAGGTCTCACAATTATAGAAAGACATGTACACACATGTAAAGAACTAAAGAACTAGGACTGCCACTAACGACTATTTTTCTAACAATTAATCTATCGATTATTTAGTCGAATAGTCTATTAATCAAAAAAATGAATTTTTCTCCAGAAAATCTAAATGACATGCTGGCATGACCAAGAATCCCAGATTCAGGCCTAAACATTTTCTCAAACACTTATTCAGTGTAAATTTTCAGGCAGCAGTAGACAACTTTATGACTTTATGAGAGTATTTATCAGCTACAAGGACAAAAGCTCTGTCTACTAATGAACAGACAACACTTACATAAAGTAATTCTTCACGTTTGTGACTGATCTCACTACGCGCCACAAAAAATAATAATCACAAAATAACTGGTTAAACAAAACTTAGTGTGAAGGGATTTGAACTGTGATGTGCTAATCCTCCCAAAGTCAGACATTAACCAGCTTTAGGGATGGTATAGTTAGGATTTTATCTTTATCTTATCCATATCCTTATTGATTTAGCTCAGACTATGACTGTTTTTTGGGGGTTTTTTTTAAAGAATAAATTCAGAACAGGATTTGGATTGATTGTTCTGGTTTGTTTCAGCCAGTTGCTCATTTTACAACAATCTGTCACGGTTTAAGATTCATGATGAAGTATGATAATCAGTTACAGACAGCTTTTGCGATAGTGTTTCCTAACTGTTCGTTATTAGCTTAACCAGCGCAATGCTGTTGTGTAAAAGACACCGGGAGTCGGCACAGAAAGATGAAAATATCTCTTTTCTGTATGTTGTTGGTTGAACAGGTGGTTGGATAAAGTTCTTTTTGGCCTTTTACGTTTTATTGCACTTGCATTAAAGTTCAATGATAGTTGAACAACTCCAGTAATCTTCAATTATCTTTACATCTGGCTTTGTGTCCGGCTCTGCACTCTGTGTGTCTGTGTATACACACCTGCAGATACACATCTGCAGGCCCGTCTCTCCTGGAGAGCAGAGAGAGCAGGCCAGAGGACAGAGAAACAGTGTGACCATAAAAGACAAATAGAGAATAAATACAGCTGAAACCAGAAGTTTACATACACTGTATAAAAAGACACATAACCTTTTTTTCTCACTTTTTCTGTTTTAGGTCAGTTAGGATTACCAAAATTATTTAAATTTGCTAAATGCCAGAATGATGAGAGAGAGAATTTTTTAGACAATTTTTCATTACTTTCTTCACAGTCAGAAGTTTACATACACTAAGATTACTATGCCTTTAAACAATTTGGGAAAGCCCAGATGATGATGTCATGGCTTTGGAAGCTTCTGATAGGTTAATTGACAACATTTGAGTTAATTACAGGCACACTTGTGGATGTATTTTAAGGCGCACCTCAAACACACTGCTTCCTTGTGTGACATCATGGGAAAATAAAAAAAATCAGCCAAAAAATCAGGAAGAGAATTGTGGACTTCCACAAGTCTGGTTCACCCTTGGGTACAATTTCCAGATGCCTGAAAGTGCCACATTCATCTGTTCAAACAATTATACGCAAGTATAAACACCATGGGAATGCCCAGCCATCATATCGCTCAGGAAGGAGACGGGTTCTGTGTCAGAGATGAACGTGCTTTGGTGCGAAATGTGCGTATCAACCCCAGAACAAAAGCAAAAGACCTTGTGAAGATGCTGGCTGAAGCTGGTAGGAGAGTGTCATTATCCACAGTGGAACAAGACCTGTACCGACATTTATTACATTCTTTTGCACACCTCTCCAGTGTTGTAGATTGTTGAAATGAATGCTGTTTTTAAATTGAAATTAAGTTATGCATGAAGCTTTGCTTTAACTTTGTTGATGGTTTTCATGGAGCATGTCTGGTATGAATTTTAACAAAAGCAACATGCACAGTATTGTAATCGTACAATAACACATTGATGAAAGTTTCTCTTGAAGACTATTTCTAAGTTTGATTTAATCAATGACATAAATAATAGAAATGTTATGATATATTGCTGTCCTGACAATAAAGGATCTAGAGATAGATATTAGAGTTTATACTTTTCTAATATGTCTTTTGTACTTACCAATTTTAATAATTTGGTGAATTAATTCACCAAAGTGACCTGTTAGATTCATAATCAGGCATATGGTAAATTTTGAAAACACACAGTAGGTTTATTACTTACAAACCCTTTCAATGACAATAACAAAATTATAAATTAAACTAATGTACATGAGCTGTACTATACTGACAACTGCTTCAAAATCTTAACTGTCAGTTTTCAGTTCACACTAATGAGTGTAACGTACATATGTCTATGAGGTAACAGCAGCACACTATTAATCGTCTCGTTTTGATCCAGGTTGCACTTCTGGTTGGTCCATTCTAGCTGTTTCCTACTGAACACCGTCTTGATGTTGTTCACCTGTGAAGTAGGTGACTGTGCTAGAGCTGATACAACACTTAATTCCAATTTAATATTAATAAATTCTGTTCTTAAAAATGTAATGACTATCGTCTATCAACAACAGCAGCAATTAAGAAACTGAACCTGTGAATACTGGAGGACAGAGAACAATAAACAAAACAAATGTCTAAACAGCTCGTCTGTCTTCTCATCACAGCCCATTTCAGAACTAAGGATGTCCATACAGTTTCCTTCGTCCATACGAGTCCCTCATTCTGTTGGCACCAGTCATTCAGTTTTCAGTGTGGATACGTTTGAATGACAGTAAAAAACAAACACTTTAGTTAAGACATGGTAGATCACAGTTAATCACATACTTTTACCAGCACTTAGGATAGGTGCATGAATGTCTGCTTCAGTTGAACACTGCTGTGTATGAATTTACAGTATTAAATGACAAACCCTGACATGTTCTTCTATACATTGTGTATTGTACTCAATACAATACGAAACCGGTGAGATGAGGAGACAGAAAATAGGTTGAGATAAACCTGAATGTTTTGCTACATGTACGAAAATTCTATCGATAACTGATTTTTTCTAATAACACTCAATAACATACTGAGTTAATTGTTAAACTATATTTATTCCTGCCCTTGTCATGTTTGGGACCAGGTACGGTTAGCATTGCGAACACTAAGTTATCAGCTAGCTAACGAGGTTAGTACAGAGCATCCATAATTCACATTAACTCTAATATTAATTTGGATGTTAACTGTCTCTCGTTCTCCGGTCCAAACATAGGAAAAAACACACAAGCTTTTAGGGAGCATCATACACCTTAAAATGTAGGACGTTCCGAAAATAAACATTTACTTACCGAAAAACAAAACTGTATATCAGCATCCTTCCAGTCTGTTAGTGCCGAAGAACGGGCCATAATTCCAGTGAACAGAAAAATCATTAAAACTAAATAGCTAACAGCAAAACTGTCAGTGAAAAATTTCTCCTCCCCTGACAAATATGGAGAACGTAACAGAAACTTAACACCACTGATTCTAAACAACGTGCATATGACCCAAGATCTCCAGTGACTGATCCTCCGGTTTCCAACCTCCCGGCCTGACTCGTCAGCTTATAAATCGCACCCAAAAATACCTATTTTTAAGGGCTAAAATCTAATTAATTTGAGAATTAATTTCAGATGGACCACAAGAACACTCAACAAGAGGTGTGAATTGAGCCACTGACATAGCAATGAGTTGTGGAAACAATTTATTGACTGAGTATTTCATTAGAGAAGCTGGTGTTTTTTGAATGGGTGTGTATTGGAGTCAGTTTTTTGGAGCCAGCCCCTAGCAACCTTCAGTGGTATTGCACTTTAAGTCACTTCTGCATTGGCTTCACTTCTCAGCCCCGCAGCATATGTCCATTTCTATATACAGTCTATGGCGTTTCCCTCCTCCCCCTCTGGGAGCTAATGGAGCAAGAGCTGCTCTCACACTTTCAGGTTTCTCCACCAAACCAGGAAGTGGAAACATGCCGCCTTTAAACCCTCCTCTGTCGTGTATCAACAGTGTTCATTGTAATTTTCAGAAGCATGACAGAGGTGTGTTCAGACTGATGCCAGAAAGCAGAGGATGTAATGACAGGCATGAGGATGACCCTGTGGAGCAAAGAGAGCTGATCAATTATTCATGCAATCTCAGGTTAGGCGTGGCATCTCTGAGCTCATAGCCAGACAAAGATAACAGATCTGATCAAAACTAAAATGTCTCTCACCTGTGATATACACACACACACACACACACACACATTCAGATAAACTGACTGAGTTCATCTCCAACACTGTCACATAGCCTGCCTGAGAGCAGGGCTGTAAACTATCAGTTATTTTCACTGTCTATTAATTGTTTGGGTTCATGTAAGAAAATGTCACTGAAGCACCAGGCGATATTTAATGTGACGGAGTGAGAAACCCAAACACTTTCACAATCACATGAGACAAAGAAGCTGAAGACAATGAATGTTTAACAACACAAAACAACTTTGGTGATTAATCAATTATCAGAAAAGTTGCAGATTCAAATTATATCAGATCTAAATCATTTTAAAAGAGCAAAAAGCCGCATCACGATACGCTCGGCAACACTCGCCAAGTACCTGAAGTCCTTTCTGGAAGGTTTATTAAAGGTCCATACAGTCTAAAGATTGATGTCCATGTGTTGTTTGATTATAATTGATTCAAAAATTTCCCCTAGGTCATAAATAAAGTATCTATCAATCAATCAATCAATCAATCAATCTATCTATCTATCTTAAAGCAGGTCTAGGTTCTATATTAATACTGTGAAAGTAACAAAGAACTCAGTCCACAGAGGAATGTACTCAGCCAACAAAGCAGTCACCAAGCCCCGATGATGACTAACAGTGACAGTTGCAGCTGTGAGTAAAACTCTGAAGGAAACTCTGGGCTTGTTGGCCAAATGTCAGAGCTAGCACAATAAGCCAATGCTGCTAATCATCATCAAATGATTAAAATTTAAGGTTTAAGTGAGATTATTAATGAGACTCAAACTATATTCATGAACCAGCAAGTCAGAATTACCCTAACCCTGGACCTAAACACTTGTGTCTCAGAATAAGTAGCTGTCATTCTTTTCCCCTGCGAGTCTCACACTGCACACATCAGTGTGTCCCAAGGGTAGAGCTGCTGTTAGTACGCACTACATAGCATCAGAGAACAGATACCAGCTGAGTGACAACACAGTCCTGTTTCTTCAAACACTAATCCCATATAGAAAGCATTTCATGATACAAACCTTTTCTCATTTAAATCTAAATATAAAGAAATGTGCATTTTCAGCCTTAATGGATCGAATCATAGTGCCGTTTAGAAAGTATAAAACATTTGACATTTTTATCAATGAAAATATTGAAACTATGAGAAAAAAGAACAACCTATCAGTAACACTAACTTTATTTTGAAAAGTAACTGTTAAACCTGAAACAGGAAGTCTTCAGTGAAGGTCAGAAAATACTGGACTTGATGGATCTGAATTTTACCATTAAATTAAAGCAGATGAAAGGGGTCCTGAGAGAATCAGTGTGGACATTCACACCACTAAATATGTCTAAGACAATGTGTCATGCTATCATGTGATTGTGATGCAACAGCCACAGAAATGGTCTGAATTTAAAATCATTCTAATCCTCATCAGACCCTCAGTGACCCATCGTGCTCTGTGGACAGAGACATGGTCCAACCCTGTCTCCACTCTTGTTATTCGGGTTTTTCTTTTGTCTGGAGCCAGTTCACAAATTCTTCAATTCTCAGCTATGAAGAAAAAAAGTTTCATATAAAGAAAAACAAGTGGATATTAATGGAGGATTATTAGGACTATTGACAACACCATCACTCTGTCAATGGAGTAGATTTTAACAGTCAGAATAATGAATGACTTTTATTGTAAACAGAAAACTCATTACACTGATGTGTGGCTTCTTGTTTACAAATAAAAAAAAGACAACAGAAAATCATTCACAACAGTCATCTTTCAAACTCTTACATCAGATTTACTAACCTCAGTAACAAATGTGAAGAAGAGGATTAAGAAGACATCTTCAGTTGTTGTTTTCATCATTAAATTCAAAAAATACTTAATAAATAACTGTAAAATCAACTGACAATAAAAAAAATCTGTCTATACTTTGTTTTGTTTATGTATTTATGCTTCCTTTTCATTATTTATTTATATATATATATATATATATATATATACACACACACAAGCACACACACACACACACACACACACACACACACACACACACATATAGATTATTTTATATGCACAGAATGAATATGCAGTACTCTATAATTAGAAGTAATACAATGTTCTTTAAATAAAGTTTTTAAATAACTGACGGCCAATGAGAAAAGTCTGACACTCATCCACCCAGTGGCCTACCTCTGTCACTCATGACCAGTCCAGGGTGCCATCTTTAACGCGCCGCTCGATGGATGTTTAAACTTAGTGAGTCTAGGTGATCGGACAAAACAGAACCCGGGTCCTGCTTCTGTCGTCAAAGTATGCAGAGACACAGCGATACTACAATCAGCTGTTTACGACCATCCTCGTCTTTCCTAATCCTCCACTCAGATTAATGTATAACAGGGGGTTGGACACAGTGTGGAGGAAAAGGGTCAATACAAAGAACATGACCGGACTGGACCCTGATGAGAGGGGCCAGATCAGTCAGAACAGGAAGTAAAACAGACTGGGTTCAGGTTCTGGTTCAGGGATCAATAAGGAGGTTTTTAATAGACAAACAACATGTGAGGCCATTTCTTCATGCTCTTTAACAGGATGAATGTGCTAACACACACACACTAAAGAACCATTTTGGACAGGAGCCTGAGCTTCTGGCTGGAGAACAGCACATCCACATGGATGCTGGCTCAGTGAGGTGTGAGGGGAGGGGCTCCGCTGTCATGGCTCATTCATGGCTCAGCCTGGCCATCTTGGTTGGACTTGTTCAGTTGATGCAATGCTAACAACAACAACAGAGAGGACGGAGCTGCTCTTTAAGCAGCTGCTTTGCATTTTCCTGCCAACAATTACACACAGTCTGGTCTGAGCCCCCAGCATCGTGGATCTGAGTGGATCCGGACTGGATTAAGGAGAAATTCACTGAACAACAACAGGATCAACCTTCACCCTCACACCCCCCTTCTCCAGCCCCTCCACCCCCACACTCATCCTATTATAAAAGGCCTCTCGAGCATGATGCAGGCCGCACACCTACATCCACATCACTCAGAGTCTTATTGTTAAACATATTTTAAAGATACAGTGATTCCCGATGATGTGAGAAACACATTGAAAACGGAGGGTCTGCCCATTGTTGCAGTCTGCGTCAAAAACTCAAGAGCGACCATCCAGCAGCCTGAGAGACACCGAGGTCTCTTATTTTCCTATGAACATGAATGTGCTAAACAAACAGCATACCCCCACCCCATGATGTAGACTGTAGAGCATTATTTACCGTTTAAACATTTAAACACGGGCTGGATGGTGGTTACTCACCTTGACTGTTCTCTACTGAGGTGAAAGATGAGCCGATATTATCTGCAGCCCAGGCATCGTTGGTGGAGCGCTGTGAAACCATGGACACCAGTGTCTGCTGCATTTTCTCCGGAGCGAAGAAGGATGTCTGGGCATCGGTGGATCTTTTGCGGGCGCCGGTTAAGCTAAAGATGGGCGCCGTTATTAGTTCTTTAGTGGCTGAAATTATTCCAGTATCGACAGCAGTGGAGGTGGTCGGGTCCGTTGTAGGAGGCTGGAAGGTGGTCGCAGTTTTAGAAACGGGGTTTGTGGTGGCGGTCGAGCCGGCAGAAACAATGCCAGGCCGCGGTGTGAGACCGGTTAGAGGCCCAGGATAGACGCTCCTCTCGCCTGAAGAACGAGGCATGTCGGTGTGGAGGCTCCCCCAGGTGTCGGAGGCTGAGCCGGGCTTCCTGGAAATTGGCGACGCATCGTAGGAGCTGATGCGAGGAGCAGCTTGAGAAAATCCGACACATACAGAGAAAATAAGTAAGAGCAGCGGAGACATGAACATCATTAAGGACGTAAGCCTCATATTCACTTTCAGCTCTCCATCCAGCCCCAGTCACGGTCTCTCAGACCTCTCCCTCTCCACAATTGGTGTCCCCGGGCTGCGTACGGTGCTGTTTGTTGCCCTATGAACCACAGTCAACATTTCACCTGCTCTACAACCTACCGTCAGCCGCGCAGACTGACGTAGCCTTCAGCCAATGGAAGGCCTGGAAGACCGTCCGTGAACGCTCGCTCATTGGCTGGTCTAACGGTGGCGGTACCGCCCTGCGGAGACACAAAGTGTCGTAAATTATCAAATATACGTGTGAAAATCACCTAAACAACCGGTTCACGATGAACAGCGGGGCTCATGGAGGCAGCTCAGACAGACGGTGTGCCTGAGAGAGTGAACAGTGTGCTAGTGACGGTGGAAGCTCGGTCAGCTCCGGTAAAACGTGGAAAAACGTTCAATTAGACAAACGATGGTGCGTTTAACACCCCGTTGTGTTACGCATGCGCACTGCCTTTTTTAATACGGTGGGTTTATACACACGTCTGCTGATTGGGTAACACGCTCAGACACACCCACTACACGACAGAAAACCACCTCAAATACCTATAGTCATGAGGAGATTCCGGCAAGATGGCGGGCTGAGCAGCTGTGTATAGTTAGAGCACGTGAAGATCCTCAAATTAGGTTTTCTGATCACTTTACCCCTACCAAATAAGTAAAATGGACAATTCAACCGTGTAAAAGTCGATTGAGTACAACGCTGCAGGGTTGAAAGAGTGTAAGAACAAGATCTCCGTTCTGGAAACTCAGGTGTCCATCTTACAAAAAGAAGTTGACGAGCTCAAACAGAGATCAAGAGAACAGGATCAGTACAAACAGCAGTGGAATTTGAGGATTAGAGTAATGAAGGAGACGATGGATGAAAACATCAGGCAAGATGTAGTTCATTTACTTGGGGACATCACTCCTTCAGCATAGACACAACACAAATATGTGTTCACACTGGATTGTTGCAGTATAGCCAACAAAATAAATTTGGTATGGTTAAACTAAAGCTATGGTCCACAAGGTCCATATATTCTTGAACAGTGACACTGACTTTTCAATAGGGCTGGGGAAAACGATTATTTTTGTAATCGATTAATCTAGCGATTATTTTTTCGATGCATCGATTAATCTAACGATTCATTTTTTCAATTCGAATTCGAATCGATTCGATTATCGATTATTTTCCCATTATTTGACTTATATAGCAATTTACATATGCTAATTTATGTATCTCAATGAAAAAACACAAATTTCTTCATTCCAACATATTTCTATTGTTTTCACCAAAAATGACCATATTCCAAAATAAAATTCAAGTAATGAAAACAATAGTGCAATCTGACGTCAGAGGTAGCGTTTAACAAAAAATAAAATGAAATAAAATACTTTCTTGTTGTGCAAGAATCAAGAAAATGTTATCATCATAAAATCAATAAAATATAAACAGCAGCAGTGTTCTTTTTTAACTAACAAAATATAAAGTGCTGTTCATTCACAGGAACATACACTCTGCCTTTTCACTCAAGAATACTGTGTGTAGTGTAGTGTGTGTCTATGTGTGTGTCTTGATGTGCTGGTGCATCGCCGTCGTGCTTTTATGATAAGCCATCTCCATTTTACACAGCCGACAAACGACAGAATGGCCTCCTTTTACGGAAAAATAGTCCCATATCTTTGAACTACGACTTCGTGTTCTACATTAATGATGGGAATACCGGCTCTTTGTGGAGAGCCGGCTCTTTTTGGCTCGGCTCACTAAAAAGAGCCAGCTCTTTCGGCTCCCAAGTGGCTCCTCAGATTTTTTGTTACTTAAATTCATTTATTACCAAATTATGTGTAAAATGAATAACTAATGTAAAAAATATAAAATAAAATATAACATATGTATAGTATGTATATGGCTTTATTAATAAACAGAACATAACTTAAAATATACATAAATAAATTATAAATAAAAAAGACCCATTTTAATTTGTGAAAAAACACAAAATCAACTAAACATCACTCAACAAAATATAAATGAAAATGTGCAACCATGTACAGTGAAAAACAAAACACAAAATGCGAGTGTCTGTAACCCCTCCCCTCCCCCCTCCTGCTCAGTGTAGTCACACAGACGCTGCCACAGCCACACATGTTGACCAATGCGGCTTTAAAAGACAATTAAAAAAAAAAAAAAATCGCTCTCGATCGGGAGCCGGCTCCTGTCGTTCACTTCAAAGAGCCGGCTCTAATCCGGCTCTCGTTCGCGACCGACCCATCACTATTCTACATTGATCAGAGTCAACTGACTCGCTGGTATCGATACTGCCGCTACTTGCTGCCGCTATTGTTTGTTTTCAAACGATGCATCGACGCACAGTTTTTGCGTCAACGTATTTTTTGCGTCGACGTAATCGATGACGTCGACGCAATCGATGACGTCGACGCGTCGTCCCAGCCCTACTTTTCAACCTAGACTCCTGCTCCTTAGATTTAAAATGAATTAATGTGTACAACGTTTATGTGCAAATTTCATTTTTATTTACTGGCTGTTTAAATACCTCTCAGATTAGCTGTGGAGGAATTGCTATACAAAATACATCTATCACTGTACAAAATGTATATTGTATATTATGCAGATAGAATTACATCTTCTATGTCAGCACAGATATAGTTCTATTTTAATGCAGACCAAACATTTTCTTATGTGCAAGTACTTACTGAGCATGTCTTGAAGAATTCACTGGAGTCGTCACAAAGACAGAGCGAAGTACTGTCACGTCTGGTGTCTAATAATACACAGAGAGAGAAAAGACCAGTTAACAGAGTAATTTGCAAGGCACAAGCACAAGTCAGACAGGAAATAGAATAGGTTGGTCTGGATCATCTCATTTAGAACTTGATTGATGAACTATCATACAGATCAAAAGCAAAATTAACCTACTTGACATCCAGCTCATGTGCTGCATCAGCTCACTGAGTTTCTGGCCAATAGTTCCCTTTTTTGTTTTGAAAAGTTCGATGAAACGCGGGGCGTACTGGTCCAGAGCCTCAAAGAAGTCTCCCTCAAGATTCTTACTGGCGATTCTATTAAACTCAGCAAACACCTGAAAAAGTAGAGAGAGGGGTGGGTAGGGATGGAGAGATGGCAGAGGTGTTAACATTCCAACAAATGTGTTTGGATTTCTAGCTACACACCTTGAATTTCTTTTTGATTGGCATTATTTTATTGGTTGAGAACAAAAATAGCTTACCTGTCTCTCTGTGAAGAGTGCTGGTCATTGTTCAACCATGTTTGTGTACATCCCTGTGAGATCTGTATCCTTGTGACAAATTTGTCTCAGGTGACATGGCCTTATCTAAAATTTCTCCATTGTTTAGTAATGTCTGCAGCATTTTTAGTATGGGGATATACACAACTGTCTGCCTGTTATTTTTTAGGACAAACTCAACAGGCGTTACCACTGAGAATTCTTTTGAAATGTATGATGTTCGCTTGCTAGTGGTTGACAATGACCCCCCAGTAGAAGTGAATTTCAGGAATACATTACTCTCAGTAAATACTTTAGCTATCTCACTCACTAAAGAGTCCTCAACATCTCTACAATGTTGATTTAGCATTTTTCCAACCGAGGTATGTAACAATGGCTGTGAAAGCACATAAATTTGGTTGATCTGCTCTATAACTTCTTGCAGGGCATTTTCAGAGATGTTAAGCTTGATGACATTTTCAGAAAAAGAGCAGCTACATTATGTTCCAACTGACTCTCCAAAGCCTCCACATCTTCATTGAGCTCAGTAACCTTAAACCAGGGGTGTCAAATTTACGGCCCGCGGGCCGGATCAGGCCCGTGAACGGGTTTAATCCGGCCCGCGAGATGATTTCCAAAGTATAAAAATAGCTGCAATTTTTCAATGAAAGAAACTGCTGTTCTAAATGTGTCCACTGGATGTCGCAATAGCAATTCTGTTACGCAAGCAAACTGTTTATACCGGGCCGAGCAAGTAGGCTTATACTTAACAGCTAGCCCGGAGCTGCCTTGTCCTTCTGCCTATTACGTCTTCTACCGCGCTTTCAGTGGCCCAAAATGTCTTTGTCAAAAAAGAGAAAAGTGGACACAGAGTGCAGAGTTTTCCAAGAAAAATGGTCATCATCCTATTTATTCACAGAAGTGAATGGGAAACCTGTGTGTTTGGTGTGTTCACAGCAGGTTTCAGTGCTGAAAGAATACAACCTGCGACGCCACTATGAGACTCTTCATGCCGAAAAATACAAAAACTTGCAAGGACAATGGAGAATAGAGAAGGTGAATGAATTGTTGGCGGGTTTGAAGAAACAGCAGTCTGTGTTTTCTCGTAGCCGAGAAATAAGTGATGCTGCAGTGAAAGCCAGCTACATTATTGCTAATGAAATTGCACTGGCTTCAAAACCATTTATTGAGGGTGAATTTGTGAAGACATGTATGCTGAAGGCTGCAGAGATTGTGTGCCCTGAAAAGCGTCAGGCTTTTGCAAATATCAGCCTGACAAGAAACACAGTTGCAGACAGGATTTCTGATCTTTCAGAGGATTTGGACAGCCAATTGAAGCGCAAAGTAAAGTCATTTATTGCGTTTTCAGTTGCAATTGATGAAAGCACGGACATTACAGATGTTGCACAACTGGCCATATTCATCCGCGGAGTTGATGACACTTTGACCGTCACCGAGGAGTTCGTGGAGTTGGTGCCAATGACGGACACCACAACAGCAGCTGATATTTTCACCGCCCTCGTCGGAGCGCTGGACAGGGTCGGAGTCGACTGGTCCCGCGCTGTCAGCCTGGCAACAGATGGTGCGCCTTCAATGACTGGGAAAAAAGCAGGTGTTGTCACAAAATTCAGGGAGAAGGTGCAGACTGCAAATGGAGGACGTGATTTTTGGACTTTTCATTGTATTTTGCATCAGGAGGCATTGTGTTGCAAATCATTGAAGATGGATAACGTCATGGAGGTGGTCGTCCGAACCGTGAATTTCATCCGATCCAGAGGCCTGAATCACCGCCAGTTTGACAGCCTTCTCAGAGAGAAAGACCACAGCTATGGCCTGCCATACCACACCGAGGTAAGATGGTTAAGCCGAGGTGCTGTGCTGAGGCGCTTCTTCGATTTACGTGAG